ATGACTTTTAATTTGTATTTCCAACAAGCTTCCTGCTCATTAGCTTAACAAAAGATTACCGAATCATCTGCGAAAAATAAATGTGTAATTGGCTCCACATCTGCCGAAACCTGCATACCATGTATCAAACCATCCACTTCCTGTTTTTTAATATATGAAGAAAGCGCTTCCGCACAAATAAGAAACAAAGAAACAAAAATGGCGACATCGGATCACCCTGCCTCAACCTTCTCTTCGGTTTAATATATCCATACGGGGAACCATTTAATGACACATTGTTTGATACCGTTGTAATACATTCCCAAATCCAACCACAAAATGTAGGGTGAAAGCCTAAATTCTCCTTAACATTCAACAAAAAGCTCCATTCCACCTGGTCATATGCTTTTGCCATGTCAAGTTTAACCACCAAACTCCCATCCACATCATCCACCCCTTGTTTGAGTGAATGGAGAATTTCATGCACCAGCAATATTTTATCATGAATTTGTCACCCCGGAACAATAGCAGACTAATTAGGAATAATTACTTGTGCGATCACTCATTTCAATCTCATAGTCAACACCTTAGCAATAATTTTATATAGAACATTGCACAACGAAATAGGTCTCAGTTGGGTCATTGATCGTGGGTTCTGGACCTTTGGGATAAGCACAATATTAGTATGATTCAATTTCTCTAGTAGCTTCCCCGAATGATGAAACGCTTTGACCATACGAATAATATCTGAACCCATAACCTCCCAATTGTCCTGAAAAAAGCCGGCAGTAAAACCATCAGGACCAAGTGATTTAGTCACCCATAACCTCCCAATTATCCCCCACCTTCTGTTCAACACTTTGTATGACCTCCCCTTCACTTCTAACCATATCAAACGTAAATAATTCTTCAAAGTAAGAAATAGCCACATGTTGTAAATTACAAGGTTCATTCTGCCAAATTCCATTTTTATCTTCCAACCCATGAATTCTATTACTCATTGTTCTTTGTACCGTTTGGGCATGAAAAATTTTCCTTTTTTTTGTCACCCTCCCGTGACTGCGTATTCCGTGATTTCACCTTCCAATATTTCTCTTCCTCATTTAATGCAACCTTCAATTCCTTCTCTTTAGCTCTAAATCTTTCATGCGGCATCAGTCCATCTACAATGCCCCTCCTTATCTCATCCCTGATTTTCGTAATGCGCCGTTGGGAATTTGTTCCTAAATTTTTTTTCCAATCGTGTAACCGCCTCCGAGTACCCTTCAACTTCTCACAAATTTGAAATGCTAGTGACCCATCAATCTTCTCCTCCCATGAATCCGATACAAAAGTATGGCACTCCTGATTTTGTCCCCCACCATGAATCATAGAAAAACAGTCTTGGCAATCGACCCGTCGGGCCATCAGATGACAGAATGAGCATAGAATGATCATACCCCTCAAGTGCCACATGAGATATTTTAGCTCTTGGAAACATATCAATCCATCCCGATGTGGCCACCCCTCTATCTAGCCTCTGTTGAATCAGACCATGTTGAGAAGTCAATGATATTATTCCTGATATCTTGGCTTAGTTTTAGGAAACTATCTTGTAAATTGTTTGTAATTTATTTGTGATTATCTGTAAACCCTAGAATGTAGGATAGGTTACTTCTTCGGCAAGTACTCTCTTTGTATAAAGTCTCTTGGTATCAATTGAAGAAATTAATCTTCTGCAAAATATTCTTTGCATTTTTTATAGACCATCATCTATCTTATTCCTCCAGGTAAAAGGGTGGTCTTCAAGACCCTAATCAAGTAGTCCGTTAGATGCCAAAAAATCCCTTAAGTCCCTTGCGCTCGCCATGGAACGGTAGTTACCCCCTTCCTTTTCTTCGTCATCAACTATATCATTAGAATCTCAGATCACTAGGCACTTCCCGTCCGTATAGCTTATTCTTTTCCGGAGCTTTCTCCATTGATCTTTCATCTTCTTCTTTTCCGTGCTTGCATACACCGCAAACATCCGCCAACTCTTAGGATCCATGTAATCACCATCCCCAAGTTCTATAAAATAACTATCGTTTTTCATAATCAAAATCCTTGCACCTTCTCTCTGAAAAACACATAGCCCGCCTCCAATACCTATAAAAGGTGCATTTGTATTGGACAAAATGATGACTTCCTCAACAGGTATATGAGACCTAAATTCCTTCAATGAAATAACATTCTCCCTTTCCTCTTATAACAATTTGAAAAATATTGTATTCTGCTGGCAATCCATTCAATGCAAGAATGACAATATCTTCATCAGCAAAGTACACCCCAGCAGCAGAGAGGTAGTCTTTAGCCTCCTTGATCCGTTGCACGTACTGAGCAGTGGAATCAGATCCCATTTTAATGTTCTGAAGATTAAACTTCATCTGAAATATGCTAGTCTTAGAAAGAGTGGAGAATTGCTCCTTCAATCGAGTCCACAAATCCTTAGAACTAGTGTTGCCAATCACACAGGACATAGCCACTGAAGATAATGAAGTAGCGATAAGCTGCATATGTGTCCTATCATGCATCATCCAAACTAAGTATGCGTCACAATTTGTGGAAGGAGATGAATTCGAGGAATTTACACCAAATTCTTTTGTTAAAGATGAAGTACAAGTTGGACAGGGATGAGAACCATCCATAAATCCCATAATTCCATTACTTTCCAACAGTAGTTGCATTTGGAAATGCCAGTTCAGGTAATTCGTAGCATCAAGTTTAACATTCACAGATGTAGAAATTGAAGACACAAGTGCAGTTATAGGAATTGCAACTGTAATTGAGAAGAGGTAACCATTTTTCCCTTGGAAAATCAAGAACACAACAATTTTGTAGTTGTGATTTTACCTCACAGACTCACAGCAAACACTTTGTGTGCAAGAATCGAAGTAGTCGAAGAAAACAGAAGCAGAAACTTGACCGCAATATGCTAGAAATTGAAGAAGACAAAGAGATGTCAAGCAAATACAATGAACGGCAGTCGAAGATTTAGAGAAGACAAAATTGCAGAAATCAGAGTTTCGTAAGGCTTGGATCGAAGCTTTAGCTATGAGCTTCAATGGCGATCGATACCATTTTAATGTATATACTAAGAAGTTGTAAGAACAATGTTGCCGAGAGAGAGAGATGAAGGCTTAAGCTATGTCTTTGTATTGATTCCTTAGTGAAGAAGTTATTACATGAATGAAGTACTTATACAATTCACTAGCTTCGAACAAACTAACTGCCTAATACCTATCTAAGATTTAGACAAGTGTCAACATCTAAAGTGTACAATCACTAATACTATATCTCTATCACCAATCACTCTGCATGCCAAATCCTTTATCCGCTAAAAATCCTTTGAAATAGGACAAAAGCTTTCCACGGGCCTTTATCACATCAATCTTCGCTTTGCACTATGATCCTATCCCTTAACCCATCATCACCTGCTTTCTTCAGGCTGGACTCTAAGATCCTCCACGTGCGCGAAATACTGGAAGATATTCTCCCAATACACTCAAAACTCTTCAATACGAGGATCCCGAACAGACCCGAGGAAGAAAAGTCCATGATTTCAATCTACACTCTTGAAGCTCATTTTAATATTTTCACAAGATAATTACTACAATAATCTAATAGAAATATATAGAAAAATATGAGAAACAAACCGATAATGCATAATCGGGTACAAACTTGACATTTTTTACATTCCAACCATTTTCATTTCATGGATTTTTCATTGAGTGGCCTTCATCAATAAGTAGAATTTGTTCTTCTTGGGTGGTGGGAGAAAGAGTTCGTTTTATGGAGGGAATTTGACACATTTGATTTATTAACTTTCGCATAGTTTTCTCCAAAGTTTTGTAGCTTTCCTCCATCCTTTCTAAACACTTGGTCGCCTCTTCGCTGTATTTGGTGCTTGCCACTTGGAGCTTGGACAACTTCTCCGCTAACTTGCCCATATCTTCATTGTAGAGCTCTTCGTCCGGATGACCATTAGTTGGGATCTCATATATTTGCTCTATGTAGTCATTGGCAACACTTTGATACTCAAAGCCATTTGTTAGCCTATCATAGTTTCTATGAATGTGTTTATTATAAAAAATAATAAATTTCACCTAGCGTGCCAATTTGTTCACCCCCTAAATTCGTCATGGGCCTCATGGGTAGACAGGGAATTTACTTGTACAAGAAATTGGTGATTACGAGCGTGCCACTACTAATTACCACTAGTAGATGGGATTTGAAAGATTGAGTGAGTGGGAGTGGCTCAAATCAAGGTTCGTTCTTTTCCTTAATAAGGCCTTTACTTATGTGGAGAAATATAACAATATGTAATGTCAAGTTTGCTGGAAGTGGATATGATAGAGGAAAGTAAAGAAAGTAAGTGTGACTGGACTGGAAATATAAATACTGTTAGTGAAATAAGTAAATACAATGGCAATGGAAATGCAAATGAGAGTATAAGGAAATCGACACTATTCAGAAAAATAGCACAGCAGGGTATTGAATTGAGTTGAATTGTTTGATTAATTGGTTCAATCTCCTTAATCCTTCTGCCTCTACTTCTTTATATAGAGAATTGATAGTAGTTGCGTTGCCGACTTCACGTTATGGAGACGAATTCCACCGTTCAAATCCACTTGCAATAAGAAAGCATGCAATTGTCTTGATTAAACAAAGGACTTGCACATTAGCCTAATTGCACAAAAACCCCCCACAAAATGCCAAAATTTGACTTTGACCCAAAAAAGTGAATTTGTGTCAAATTTTAGTACAAACAGACCATCACAAAAGTATGCCTGTTATAGACCAATGATGGATATATACTGTAAATTGATTCATCTACTGCAGCTGCCATGCTAGCTAATATGCTATGCTATATATATATATATATATATATAGTAGTATTAGCATATCAGCATATGCATACAAATTGCACTACGCAGACATCACATAGGTACCACCACGCACAACGTACGTACCACTCAGCTGCGTTGCGTGCGTACGAGCGCCTAATGATCGAGCACCACCAAAGACGAAGACGACGACATCGGAGGAATCCCTTGTTGATTCCTGAAAACGTTGGTTGGATCAATAAGTGTTTTTGCTCTCACCAATCTGTCGTAGTTATTTAGGAAGTACTTTTCACCCCAATTCCTGGCAATTTCCACAGCGTCAGATTCATCATCCTTAACCAAATTATTATTTAAAGGAAACTGCTGCCGCATCATCAGTCCGAGGTCGAGGTCAACATAGTTGATATAAGCAGCCCTAGGACCCCATGAAACATACTCTGTCATTGCATTGTGGAATCTTCTTATCCATTCTATGTAGTCATTTATTTTGTGATTATCTTCTTCTTTCCATTCCACCAGGTACTGAATTGTAAAGAGGTTACCTTTTCTGTGAGGAAATGCAATGGCTTCGCTGCTTATATCATGCATAACCCCACCATAAGGGTCTAAAATCACGTACCCTTTCGGCTCCTCCTCAAGTATTTCCAGGGCTGCCCTTATCCCTCTGTAAGAAATTGGGGTCCTAACGTAATCCGATTTCGCTTTGAAAAATCCCTTGCCTTGCAGATATCGATTTTTCAAGTCGGACACTGAGCTTCCCTTACTTAGGCCGGAGAAGAACACGATGGACTCGATCCAACTCATTTCTGCGCAATCTTCTTCTGCAACACCCAAGTCAGGAAAAACTTTGTTTAGGATGGACACGGCGCTGCTTCTTGGACCCAGATAAAACCCTTTGAACGTAGCTGATATATTAGTACTACTAGTAGCAGTAACGGTAGTAGTCTTGACCTCTGGCAACCCAGCGCCGACAAAGCACGAAATGTAGAAATCATCTTCCAAGTAAGGTGCGATGTGTTGCCACTTGTCTACCAGCTTTGCTACATTATGATTAAAGATTTCGTTGCCTCCTCCTCCTGCAGCAGCAGAAGCAGCTCTAGACACTACGAAGGCAGTTACGACTTGTGGCACATTCAACAACTGGATTTTCCAAGCATAGACAATCCCGAAAACACCACCACCACCTCCTCTAATTGCCCAAAACACGTCCTCTCCCATGCCTTGTCGGTCTAACAGTTGTCCATTTGCATCAACAAGTAGTGCATCCACTACGTTATCGGCTGCAAGTCCGTATTTCCTCGACATGAGTCCGAATCCACCGCCAGCAATATGGCCTCCAGCGCCTACAGTTGGGCATGACCCGGCGGAGAACCCATGAAGATTGCTTGCTTGGGCAATCGCATGGTATGTCTCACCCAGCGTTGCACCTCCTTCCACCCATGCAGTTTCGGTTTCCAAATCCACCGACACACCGTTCAAGTTCATCATGTCGATGATCACAAACAGAGCTCCGTCTACAGCAACGGATGATGTCCCTTCGTAGCTGTGTCCGCCGCTCCTTACTCTGATTTCCAACAACCCTTGTCTGGAGCATGACACAGAGTTTATTAGCTGCTCAACGCTCTCGGGAAGTATGATGGCTACTGGCTTAGGAAGGGCAGGATCAGCGAAACGAAGATTTTGGATGGAAAAGTTGAGCAGCTTGTAGTAAGCTGCAGACTCATTTTCCGTGTTAGGGAATGTGGTAAAGTTGTTGATGTCATGAAGCGTCAAACAAAAAGTGATTTGGTCCGCAGGAAATTCAGCTAAACAAGGAACGAGAAGGCACATAATAAACAAGAGAGGGGATTGAATCGTGTATCGATTTCTTTCTGCCATGTTTAGTTGCTACTTCGATCGGTTCCTTAGTCAATTTTTGAAGCTGTATATATGCATATGGTGCCAAAAGAAACAAAAGAGGTGGATTTTAAATTTTAATGTAGAAGAAAAAAAAAATGAGAATAATTACGTTATACAATCAGGACAAACAGACGAAGAGATCAATGTAAGGGTGACATGCATGCGGCCGGCAATTGAATAAAAATTTGTAAGTTGAACCAAGTAAAATACTTGCTTAATTACCATATTCTTTTCAGAGACTGATTTTCACACAATTTTTAGCCACTCACACACATCCCTATGTATTCTTGAGTTGACCAATTAAATAAATCAAACGGCAACATGCAAAATTAAACAAAATTGTGCACAAGAAAAAAAAATTGTGTTTATCATTTGCCTTTTCACAGTGCCATACTGGAAAGGGACAAACCTGAACTAGTTTGTATGATTAAATAGTGGTTAAACTAGTTAGGTGGGGGAGAGGGAGAGAGAGAGAGAGAGAGAGAGAGAGAGAGAGAGAGAGAGAGAGAGAGAGAGAGGGAGAGAGACATATTTTTAGCACAAAAGTATGAAAGGTTAGAAAATGTCCTAAAATATGCATGCGACAACATGCCGGCCAACCAAAGGGTCCGAAGCGTGCCTAATTCCTACGTCGCCTCCTGTGTTTTTATCTGAAAGATATGCATGTACATGTATATATGTATCCATACCTACATGGTTACATACACATCTCTAAGCATATGGACAGTTTTAAAACAGAAGTTCTCTTGTAGTAATTCTGTCCTAGGCTCCTATCTCATCTAAAACGCACATACATGTGTGCTCGCGCGCGCACAAACACAGCTTCAAGAGAGACTAGTAATGCTGGTGATGAACAATACAGACCAATGTTTGTGATGAGACAATGAATAACAGACGCGCATGTTGAGAATCAATGTCATTTGTAGGTGAAGTAAGTGTGTGAGGTTGGTGAAGTAGGTGGATGTTGTAGGTGAAGTAAGTGTGTGAGGTTGGTGAAGTAAGTGGAGGTTGTAGGTGAAGTAGGTGGATGTTGTAGGTGAAGTAAGTGTGTGGTGTAGCTTTCATTTGGTTTGCTATAAATACCCAAGTCCCCAAGCATTGTATATCATCCAAGGAAAAACAAAGCCTAGAGCTAAATAAGAAAAGCTTTGCTAATTAGTTTGTTTTGTGAGTTTTCTTTAAGAGTGTGCTCTATTTTCTTCTTCTTGAGATCATTAGAGTTATCTTGGATACTCTTCTTATTCAACAGCGCATATGTTGCGTGTGACATTTTTGGAGACTAAAACAGTAGGATAAACTGCACCACAAATTCAAATTCAGGATTTCAGAATAAAATAAAATGAAAATTATGAAAATATATACGAAACTAGCCAAGTTAATCAGTCTCATCTTGAGCGCTTGCAAAAGAGCACATATACATCTGCAAAAGGCTCTTCTGGCCACTTCTTTTCTTTTTCCAGTTAGAAAACCCTTCTGGCCTTAATGAAAAAGCAATGCAAAGGGTTTCCGCAAATTTGATTTTTGGACTTTCACTAAGAAAATGACAACTCTAAGTGTTATGTTCCTAGCAAACAATGATACAGAGAAAGCTAAACGAATAGATAAATCATCGACCTCGAGAAAATGAAGCACATATATAGTAAACATCACACTGGTCGTATGCCTTTGATCTTTCTGTCACAACCTTCAACTCTTTATCCCTTGTCCTAACCTGCAAAACAAAAATCTTTAAAGATTTAGCCAGACAACTTGAGAGAAAATCAGGAAGAAGGGCAAAAAGAAACGCTGCGGTTTGGAAGACAACAAAAAAAAAAAAAAAAAAAAAAAAAAAAAACAGCTGCAACATGATCAAGCCACTCTAGGCTGCGGAAAAAATAAACAAAGTTAGTGTGCTCATCCTAGCAAATTATGAATTGGATGCTCAATTAAGTATAAAAGCCGTCTGGAATATGACATTTTTGGGTTGACAAAGGAAAATGAAGTTGTCATCAACAGATCAAAGGCTATTTGGCGTACCAAAGATGGATCATTATTCGGGCACAATGAAGAAATGCCAATAAGAAATTAATAAAATTATTAACAAGAATTAACCCGGTTTAGCCTCAATGCATAAATGGGAAGTTACGGACTGATGTATGCTTTAAGGTCATATAGGTTTCACTTTTTTGAGCACACCATATATATATATTTCTTATTTATATACCAGCAAAATAAAAATTGATCATGTGATAAGAAATAAGTAATTATGCATCTTCATTTAATCTGAACTTGTTTGCTGTAAAACTTTTGATGCTATAGAGTTACAATCATGTAAAACCCTGGAGGAAAGAGTAAATTTCCATATTCGAAACGGAACATCCAATTAAATCCACTAGATGTCGGAATATACAGCATGAGAAAATTACCTTGGCCTGTGGGATTTTTCCCCGCAGCAAAAGATCTACACCCTTTTCTGTCTGCCGGATGATAGTGAAGGGAAAAAAAAAGAAATATTATATGAAGAGAAAGAGAGAGAGATAGATAGTTCCCCGTTGAACCATTAGATTTCCATCCTTAGAATATGGTGAAATTGAATAATTATAAATAGAGCAAATGCCATTTACTTGCAGCCTCTAACTCTAAGCCTTTAACCTTTAAACAATTAGATTTCCATCCAACGCTAACACTAGCCAGTAACTGTTTGAAAAACACTATGCGCACGTGTCTATACATGTAACCAGTCATTTCTAGCAGTGAGGTTTACATTCAAGAAGAAACTGTTGTAGGCCCAAACATATAATTGGACAGAAATAAAAAGAATGATACTTGGTACTTTTCAAAGGGATAGAGATGTTGAAACAAATACTTATAAAGTTCCCCTACATTAACTTCTGCAATTGAATTTTGTGTACGGTTTTAGCAATCCATATTCAAGAACAGTAATACCTGAGATTAAATTTTAAAGCAAGGATTGAAGTTGACTTACACACCTGATGTGTAACCCAATAGTGCATCTGTCTCATCTCAATTAAGAACTCAAATGTTGGAGATGCTTGTCTTTCAAGAATGGGTTTCTGACATTTTTCTAGATTTGGCTTCTCCATCTCCTAAAGAAACAGTTTCTACTCCTCAACCTGAAAACAGAAAATAAGATTTGGAAGCGCAATTTTGACCAAATAGTCATGCATCAAACTATTTATTCCACATTCTCTTAAAAGAGGGGGGGGGGGGGGAATAGAAAAACAGAAACAATCAGGTCATATATTTCATTTTCTTCTCCTTCTTAAAATTCAACACTGCTATAATCACTAGTTTAGACAAAAATGGGAGAAACAAACAGCAAGTTCAATTGCATTGTAGAGATTTTATCATGTCTGGCTTGGGGAGTCTGTGCTGTATATATAGGTAAGTAATGATGGGGGTAACACCTAAACATTTTCCTGCAAGGCATCAACGTAGAATGATGAAGCCATGTTGAGAGCTCTAAAGTTTTTCTATTAGAAGTTCCATTAATTACCACGTAGAGAGAACTTTTTGTCCAATGGGAGTTGTTGATATCCCTAACATATTAACAAGGAGGAGAGCATAAATTAAGTCCCTCAAAACTGTCGACATATTCTTTATATCCTAATTGGGTTCCCACATTGGTTTCCCTAGCCTATCATTCTTCTATGCCTTAAGAGATCATCTTTCATCTTGATAGATCATTGATTATGAACTTGAAAGGAGTACTCAAATAAGCAAAGAAAAGAAAGTACTTGATGTACAACATAATTTTCAACATGATGCTATTTTTGTGCAAATTTTGTAATATTAGCATCCTGGAACAAATCAGAGCTTCCTGGAATAAAACAAAACAAAAATGTTAGCCTTCTGAATTACAAATTACTACGAACTTCCATACCAATAACCAAATATGGAAAATTAGTGTATTAACCATGTGGACCAGCTTCCCTTATTAACCTACTTTATTATGTCCTTAAGGATTTTGATCTTCATCTGACATTATCTAGGGCAACACAATATGCAATAACAGGAAGACAGTCCACACTCAAAAATTATGTCTCATATGTAAAGAGGACCTCAAGCAAAAATAATTCCACGTAAATTTTTTTATAGAGACCAAAACAAACCAGATAAGTGAGGGTAGAATTCTTTATTATATTCTCAAGCTTCTGCCCATGAGCAGTAGCAATAAGCATGACTCCTCTCTCAGCAATCAAGCGACAAGCAAGAGCTTCAGATTCCGTGCCAATCTCATCGACAATGACCACTACAGGCATGTGGTTTTCAACTGCCTCTATCATAACTTTGTGTTGCATGGATGGTTCTGTGACCTGCATTCTCCGCGCCCCTCCTATTGCTGCATGTGGAATATTTCCATCCCCTCCTATTTCTTGCTTGTATCAACAATTACCTGTCCAGTAGTGTTAGTGTTCTTTGAATCATGCAATGAAAATATGAATACAGATGCAAATACTTATATAATATGAGAGAGAGAGAGAGAGAGAGAGAGAGAGAGAGAGAGAGAGAGAGGGGGAGGAAGTTGGCACTATATGAAAGGAAAAAAAAAACTTCACGTACCACTCTTTTGTGAAATTCATCTGACATGACACGAGCAATCTCTCCCAAAACAGTGGTCTTCCCAACCCCGGGCCTTTACAAATTGAAGGGCATCTTCACTAAGAAGTTATACACATCAAATAGCTTGGAAATATGTTCGGAACTAGATGTGCCTTTTGGAAATTCCGTATCAATCAATAAGTTATTCTTAGTGAGTCACAGTGATGTTCATTGTTAACACCAATATTTGCAATACATCCACCCTTCTTGTTTCTTTTTTACTGAACCACACACTTCACCAGGGAGCACAAACCTGACAGAGCTATCTTTTATTGTTTTTCAACTACTCAGAGCTTTAGAAACAAGTCACATCCAGTTACTATGTTTACACCAGGGAAGACCGTTTTAACAAGAATCAGATAACTTTACCTTCCAACAAACAAGATGCTCTGGAGCAGGTTGTAAACCATGTCAACATGACCAGATACAGCCCTGGCAACTCGGTAAGTTAATCCAACAACCATCTCTTTCCTACTCCCGACAGCTGATATTCTGTGCAAGTTACCCGCAATGCCAGCTCCGTGTGGGCGTTGGGGGGACGGAGGGGTGTGGTTGTGTGTGCAACTTAGAAGCTCAAAATTATGGGGTAGTCGACCCAAATATTGGGCGCCAAGTTCATCAAGGTAGCGTGCTTCGGGCAATCGACCCAAATCCCTTATAACCTATATATGGTACACACAAACAACATTAGACCATCAATCATTTGCATTTGCAGCAGGGCCCTGCCTTGTTATGTTTCTGTTCTAAGTTGGTATAGTTGATAAGCGCAAATTATTCTACCTATTTTACCCGAGAATGACATTTTCCTGTGATATGTTTGATTTAAATGAAAGGAATTGCATGTTCTTTGTGTTTTGTGGCTAGACTAATGAGATGGAAAAAATCATATTAAAATTCTAAAATTGCTAGTCAAGTGAATTTGGAGAATGTTTTGATTGTCATTGATCTCTTGCTCTAATTATTAAAACATTTGCCTGTTGGCATATTAAGAGTTGTTACATGTGCATCTGGATTATGTAATATATTTCTATCATTTGAATTTTAAGCAGGATGATAAAAGAGAGAGGAATTGCATTCATAAGAGCTTTGCTCTTATCCTTCCATTGGTCACGTGACTATTTATAAGAAAAATGAAAAGGAAAACCCTATTCTTTCCAGCGCAGCTAATACAAATATTAGTCATGCCTTTCTCTCCCGAAGACCAGGAAAGAAGCCAACGACATATTGCAGTGAGTAAACTAAAGAGGCACAAGATCGAGAATAAGTTGGTGCTAAGCTTTCGTCGATTACAGCAAAGGAAAAGAAAGAGGAACGGCTAGAGTGCTTGGAATTAATTCATCAATAGTGGGGCTGATCATTATTGATCATTGAAGAAAGGAAATAAAAGGAAGAAGCAAGCAGATAACAAAAAACACAAAAAGGGAGAAAAAGGTTGTGGCAGGTAGTGATCAAGGGGAAGAAGGGTTTAGGCGGCATGCAAGAGATTTTCAAGCTTTTTTTAAACTTATTTTTCTTTTAATTTTAAGAATTCAATAATATTTCTGATTATGTTTCGGAACTAATTTCTTTTTGCTAGGGCTACGATGTAGCCTAACTATGAATTCTTAATTTCTTAGTTTAATAATTTATGAATTTTCATTCAAGTTGAATATCATTTTGCTGTGCTTATGAACTTGATTTTAATCTTGGTGATTGGCCATCACTTTGGTTTGAGGTGAGTGTATTTGATGCGAGTTAACACAGATGTCATGTTGTTAATTCGGTTTTAGCGTCTTGCAAATGGTACCATGAATTCCTTGATGTAGATGCCATACACTAGGTTTCATGCGGTCTTGTGCTACTACCCTCTGCCCTTACTTTATTCCGGCTGGCTGAATGGATTGGCGGCAATGGCCGATGGTGGCGGCGGTCGTTGGGGTGGTGTGGGAGAACGACCATATCAAAATAAAAGAAAGATTGTTTATGTTGCAGTGGGACACACCCAGCTTGTGTTCATCATTTTTCTAATTTTGTTTTCTTTTGTATTTAATGAAATGGGCCGTGGGCCTTCCTTAGTAAGAGGCCCAAACCCTTTCTTCCCTTGAGGTGATCAGTCAGACTCGGAAGAAATCAGAATCAGAGGGGGAAGGGAGAGAATTAGGGATGATGGGCAGCAGGGGGAGCAGAGAAGATGATGGAGGAGAAGGGAAGGGTTGGTTGTGGAAGCTTCCAGTCCTCAAATCCCAGCAACTAGGGAAGGTGGGCCCCGCATTCGGCCTCGGCGTTGGCTGCGGCGTGGGCTTCGGCATCGGCCTACTCGGCGGTACCCCTACTCTCTCTCTCTGTGGCTGAATTGAGTTCAGTTTTGTGTATAGGGTTAGGATTCAGGAGTAGACTGACCGACTGCCAATTTCACCACCTAACTATGTAACTCTCTATCTTGTTGCTAGCTAGGCGTAGGACATGGGAACCTAGGTATTGAATCTAATTAGGCACCACAATTTAATTGTTTGGCCACTTCAAATACATATACTTAGCTAAGCTAAGCCCACTTAGTATTAGGATTCCTCAATCACATTGTAAGTGAGAGGTTTTAAGTTCGAATATATCGGGACTCAGACATTGGTCAACTCCGATCCTTAATTATGCTGCAGTGGTCATTCCGTGCTTGCGTTGGTGTTGCTGCGCTATGTTTATGCAAAATCATGTTTATGCTTAATGGCGTATAGGTTATTGATTTTGGAAATTCCTTGTCCAGGCGCAGGATTTGGTCCTGGGATTCCTGGCTTGCAAGTTGGCTTTGGCCTTGGTGCTGGATGCGGGGTCGGCCTAGGATTCGGCTATGGTGTCGGAAAGGGCATTGCCTACGATGACCATCGCAGGTACTCTAATGTTGGCAACCTTTTTCGTGGTGGAAATGTCGGCATTTCTTGCGCTTCTCGAAATCTTCCTACTCAGTAAGTTCGTTTGTTCATTATTCCTTTAGGTATGCTTACTGTGTTTCGCTTTGTCAATTCAATTTCACTCATTTTCTTGGAGTCCATACTTTTCGGAAAGGTAAAAAAGAAACCATATAAAATGAAACATAAAAAATGACAAACAAAGCTAAATAGCGCTATTAAATTAATTAGGCAATGCAGCAACTGAAACTGGGAACGCTGTTGTTTCTTTGATGCATATCGCAACTTTTACAACAAACTCATGGAAGCTTGAAAAGTAAATGTGTAAAGCAACGGGAATCTGATGTATTAGTTTAGTTGACGGATACTACTAGGACCTCATCTATTCAACCATGGATCAAGTTACCAAGCAAAACATTCAAATAGTTTAAACTAAAATAAAAATATTTTGTACGGTACTTTTCTGCCATTAAATTTTTTTCGGGTGGTAATTTTGTAATTGTCATGCATATTGATTCGGTATCCATTATTCCTCTATGTTATCAGGGATGATATTGGTGCACTTGTTGAGGAGCTTGTTGATAATACGAAGAAACTTGTCAAAGCTACTGCAAGAGAGATGGACAAATGGAGAAGATGAGTTTTCTTTTCTGAGTTCTCATTGTAGATTTAAAATGATTATGGTTTATAATATACATGCTAAGTTATAACATACGCATGTTTGGGAAATGGGGAGTACTAAGACTTGTAGTGTGCATCTCCATCGTCAAGGCATACCTATGCTTATGATTTTGTTGAATGCCATTGGAAGAAAGCACTTGTGAATCGCATTACTTGTGTCTATAGGATTTCACCATGGAGCTTTATATTTTGTACTTCTCTAGATGGCTTGTTTCATGAGTTGCCTTGTGTCTTTTATGTACGATATAGAATTTTTGAACTTATGGTAAAGAAAGTTTTAAATCTATACTAATGGGCCTACGAAGATTGGCAATTGTCGCTACAGTACTAATTTGTATTCAGGTTTTATGCTTCCGATTACATTCTTTTTGGGGTTGGTTATGAGTAGTTGAGTGTGTTAGGTATGTTTTAGTACATTCTGGGGACTTATGGGTTTAATATTAAACATTCACGGTTTTTAGTAGGGATATATTTGTGTAAATACAGTGTAAAAATAAAATGACCATCAGTGTAAAAATAAAATGACCATAAGTGTAACTACAGTGGAGTGACAATCGATTGAATCAGTAGACAATCTCCTTCTAAGACATGTATTTTCTTGCCAGATTGAGAATTTAGAGCATACAATTAAGAAAGGATCAACTTGATTGCTTGTTCGTATTCATATTTTGACAGTGTGCCCATTTTATATTGCTAGATAGTTTTGGCAATAGAACATACAAGCACAGGTGCCCGCGTGATGCTGCGGGTTTACAATTCTATTTACACACATAATTATGTTTACAACTCTATTTACACATGTCCAACAATATTTACAATCATTTTTACGGGTTTAAAACTCTTTACACATTTACAACTATGTTTACGACTCTATTTATACATAAATGTACAACATATATGTCCTCCATTGGAGACAGGATGGATGTCTATCTCATACACATCAACTTCATGCAACACCAGGAACCCCATCCTCGTTTGCTCATCTGCTGTCTAATAATCCTAATACCGAACAGAGCATACAAATTCTACAAGTCCAAAAGTTACTGAAAGCAAATCTATTATTACTCCAATATAATACAAAAATACCAAATTCAGTAATTTCAATAGTTATTCAAATTCAATAACTTTAGAATATAAGAATACTAAATTGAACGTTTGTAGCCTAAAAAACCAGAGGAACAGTATTCGTGACAATTGATGAGTACCTATTTGAAAAATGTACCTGAAGATTGACTTTCATCAAATAAATCATAAAAAAGCAGAAAATTAGTAAACCCAAAATTATAAATTGTTACATCATCCATTTCAGTCATGCGTAAATACACCATCACACATAACAAATTTGCCTATATGACAGTGATACACAAAAGGCATCGGATTTGTAAGCTTTGGTTTCCTATGCTTCTCGCACTGATAGTTCTTATTTATACTTTTACTGGATTTGCATCACTTCTTTTACATTAATAAAATTAGAGGATTGCACATGCTTCTTTTTGGACACCAAAGACAACATTTTTTTTTTTTTTCAGTTATTCTAGTTCCTTGTGGTTGAATGGGATTCTAAGCTTCAGAGTTTCGAAAACGGAGAGTTTCGAAAAATCTCAGAGCCAGTACCAATGAGCTTAAACATAACAGATACGAGCTAATGAGATAGAGCTAAGCTACTTCACCTCTTCCATAATTCCAAGTCTCCACCCAAGCCTAGACATCCAGACATTGCCCAGATAGGTGTCCCATCTTGACCTGCAAGATTTACACATAATTGCAAAATTGGAAGAGGTTTAAACATGAACAGATTGTAAAACACAAAACTTTATAGCACCAAATTGGGTTGCAAGCAAGCACCAACCAAAAACATTACACCCAGCAGCATCTGGTTGAAAAAATTCAGATCTTTAAATAACTGAAAATTCAGTTTTATGGAATAAGATGGGAAAAAACAGAATTCTCCACGGATCATGCCCACTTTATTCTCTGCTGTTTGGTGAAATCTACAGAACAGAGAAAAATATTTAAAAAAAAAAAACCGGGAGGATTTATACAGCTACCCTGAATTTAAGTGACTGTCCAGATCTCATTCAACTCTCAGAAAGAATCGAAAATGGTGAAAAGTTATTGAGCAAGGGAGTGAGAGAAATGTGAAGAGAGAAGAAAGAAGCCAAACAACACAAAGTCCCATAGAGTGATCCAATTCAAGTTCAAGGGATTAAATCTGCAACCAAAAACAATAACAAAGCAACCCATAAAGTTATGAAACTAATCCTATGTTTTTGAAACTATGTAACAATTTTTACCTTGAGTTTCGAAAATATAGAATCCAATCAAATTAAAATCCATAGTATGAAATTAAGAATCTCAATTAAACAAAAACTACCTAATTAATTGGATATCCTGGCAAGTACTGCTGAAATGTTTTATTACAGAAAAGTGGTAGTTGAAAAACCTCATATTTAAGAACTGAACTGAGGAGCTGGTTTACGTTGTGAAAGTGAAGCGAGAAGTAACTTCTCCATTTCGAGATCAGCAGATCATAGTTTGGAGCTGTCGGATTCTCTCTGTCTCAATCAACCAAGTTCTCCATTTCAAAGTCATTGAATACGAATTCAAAAACTAAAACTCTTTTAATTTTCCGTGTGTATTCAATGATTTGCTTCCTGTAAAAATAGGAAATATGGAATAATTATTTGGCAATGGAATCATATATAGAGCTAGAAGAGGAAGTAAAGAAGATATGTCAAAGCAAATTAAGAGATCATCATATTACAAAAGCTACAATGGTAAATTAAGAGATCATCATATTTGAAAACAGAGATACGTATAAAGCCACAAAAAAAATTATTATTACCGACAAAATACTGGAAAATCTAAAGGCTAGGGATTTTCACTTTCTTAGCGAAAAAAATAATTCAAAAAAATAAATTGTTTCTGAGTGATATAACCCAAAATCATCTTAGACAGCAAAGAAACATTGCATTGAGAAATCAGACCTTAATTTCCAAAACCAAGCAGGGACAAAAACGGGAGACCAGTGTTTAACAAACAGTGTTTTAGGCAAAAATGAGTTTTAGTTATGTATCAGTTTCAAAATTATGTAAATTTTTTTACAGAGTTAAGAAAATATAAATATAGAACTGTTAAATTGAAATCGTAAACCCAAAACCCAATCAAATTAAAATCCCTAAAATCAAATTTAAGAATCCCAATTAAACAAAAATTGATCTAATTAATTGGATATCCTGGCAAGTATTACTCAAATGTTTCGTTTCAAAAAAGAGGTAGCTGAGAAACCCAATACCTGAAAACTGAACTCAAAAGCTGGATTATGCTGCCGAAGCGAAGCGAGAAGTTACTTCTCCGTTTTAAGGTCTGCAAATCACAGTTTGCAGCTGTCCTGATTCATACCATTTTAAATTTGACTTTGCTTCAATCTGTATCATGTGTCTATGGACATTTAGTTGTAATGATAAAACTCAAATCTCTCCTACGTATAAAAAGGTTGAGTAAGCAGCCAAAACAACAGGGCAATCAAGCAAGTGGTTGCAGGTACACAAAGTAATTTATATGTAAGCAGCGAACGTATATATACATCTCAAAATGAAAATTTCAACTAGTGATCCAACCTATTAGCATCAAAGTAAACTTTAACTCTGAACTCCAACCGTCTCATTCTTTCTTCCTGCTAGTTTTCAAACAAATCTGTAGAGTAGAGTGAATGAATAAAACAATAGATTACCACAATCAAAAGACAATTAGAAGTAAGATATACATGAATAATTAGGAGTAAGATATATATGTACAATGGATGAATAGTGAATATGTGATATTTACCAACAAACTAAGATAAAGAGTTCATTTTACGATAATTATTCATAAGCAATATCCTTACTGCATTATTGGTTACAAGAAAAAAAAAAGAAAATAATGATTAATATTATTTGCAATTCTTACTGTTTTTACCTAATCATTTGCAGGATGCATAAGGGGAAAAAAAAAACTTTTTTACTTCTTCTTGTCGCATAAATTTGGATTTCACCTCATCCAAACAAACGAAGTCATTGTTATATTTTTTTCAGTATGTAACACCAATTTGAAAAAGAAAAAGATAATCTAGTTGACAAATTTAAATTCAATTTTTATATTTCAATATATTTGTTTGTCAAACTCAGTGATCAAACTTTACACTCATGCTCTCCAAAAAGACAAAAAAAACGAAGAAGAATTGAAAGTAAAAATGTGAAATTGTAACCTGTGACAATAAGATCAGCGAGCAAAACAACAAATTTGATTTCAGCTTTTTTTGGCATAATATTAACATACGATAATGACAATAAATATAAAAGTTTAGAGAATGCACATACCCGTTGGTGGAATATAGGTGAATCATCGAAGTTTCCTAAATGCATGTGTAGAAGGATACAGATATCGCCTTCACCTTTGTTTTGAATTTCAGTGAAACATAGTGCCTAATAATTGTGGCATAAATTAATTTTAAATTTTCCATCGCTCGTAAATTTTAATTAAATAAAGCGAATACATAGTAATCATATCCTAACCACAGAATTAAGGATTTTAAAATGTCATAATATTTAACAACTACTAAGCATGGTTCTTAAAAAAAAAATATAAAACTAACCTGTAAGTACAACAGATATGAGTATAAACTAATGAACATTTCCTTTAAAGACATAGTGCGGTATAAATTCTATCACATAACATCACTTGGGAATGGGATTTGGTTTAGAGGCAACCCTTCCCATATCAAATCCATTCATACTGATCACATGACATTAAGAAAGTTTGACATGTAGAGTATATAATTCAGTCATACAGATGACATGTCAGTTCTATTCATGAAATACATGATACAGAAACCCACTTTGGTTAGATCAATGATTCCAACCACCATTAAGTCTTCATAGTTTCCCAGTGTCAACCAAATTTGAAATCTCTTTATTTTTTACACAATTCAACTTGAACCTATGTCTTTTCAGTTGCAATCTCACTCAGTCTTTCCCTCAAACAATTCATCGTCTTCGCAATTCGAACCCAATATACCAATTCAGTGCAACAAAAGCAAGAAGTGAGTTCGAAAAAGCATACCTTCACAAAGCTAAAAGCTTTCGATATTCCACGACCTTCTTCTTCTTCCTTCTTCCAACTATCTTCTGATTTAGGGATGGCAGTGCTGCAGCACTCATCGAGCATGCCTATTTCAATAACCCCAAATCAGTTTTAAAAAAATTTAGGTATAAACACAAAATTGGGCATAATGAAAACTAAACCGAAGTCTGAATTGCTTACTTAAGTGAAGAGGACTTTGGAAAACAGAGCGAGGCCGCTGCGGCGTTTGACCTAGCCTGAAATTAGTTAATTACCCAGATGAAAAAAGAAATATAGAGTGAATTAAAAGATTTATCACAGAGCTTACCTCTGCAGTTTTAGCAGTCTACAGATCCCAAAGCTTAGAGATGAGGCCTGCGTGAACTGGTGGTAGCGGTGATCGAACTTGCCGACGACCTGGCACCGGAATCTCTAATTTCAGCACCAGCTACAACTCCCTTCCGCCACTAGGCAAGTGAGTCTGTCGGCCAAAGCACCTGCAGCTGCGGCAAAACCCCAAATTTCAACAAAAATTCGAAAACCCAAAAATTAAATAGTAAAAAGAAAGCTTTTTTGGGTCAGTTGAAGAGGAAAGATCAGTACTTTTTTGGATTCGATGGTGATACTGAATGATGGGTCGAGAGAGGCAGCGATGGCAGCTTGAGCAGAGTCGGCGGCACGGTAGGGACGACGGTGTTTCAACCCGAAGTAGGGGGCGTGGCGGGAGAAGTAGCGTTTGTCTCTCTTCCGGCTCATGGTGTTAGATAAGGTGAAGAGGGACGAAGGTTTGCCGGATGAGGTGAGGAGGGACGGAAGGAAGCGGTCGAGGATCCCACGCGTCACAAAATCGTTATTCATTTGACAGCAAAGCAAAAGGGGCAAAGTTGAAATAAAAGAAAAATGGGCGAGGACAAAATCGGTAATCCACTGTAGAGGTAACAATAATCTAAGTCTAAAAGGATACAATGGGAATTGAGTTGAATGTTACTCTTTTAGTATATACTAGCAACGGTGCCCGCGCGTTGCTGCGGGTTTTAAACCTGTATAAAACATGTGAAAAGTTATAAATACATATGATGTCATACTATTTAGATATATGTTGAAATTTGTTTACAATCATATGGATTGGCGGTTGTATTGCCATTGTTCTATTATTCACATGTTTTACAAATTTGAAATCCTAAGTGTTCTTAACTGAAAGAAAAGATAAAAGTGGTTCTATTGCCATTGTTCTAATATTCACATCTTTTACAAATTTGAAGTTCTAAGAGTTCTTAACTAAAAGAAAAGATAAATTTTTTTTTTCTCACTGAAATATATCAATTTGAATCAAATCTACCTAAGAAGTATGGATTGTAGCATAACTTGTAATTTTTGCAAGCTGGACACTTGTAATATTAATAGTGACATAATTTCTTCCTAAGCCATCGGAAAAACCAAAATTGAACAGAACTTCCTCACCCCTCGTCTGACCAAATAAAAGAAGTAATGTTTCTCTTTTGAAACCTCTAATCACATGACACTCCAATCACATGACACAGAACCAAACAGAACATAAATTTTTTTTTTAAAAAAAAGAAGAAAGAATTGAACACATTAACTCTTGACAAAAACTTATTACCCAAGAATGGAAAGTCACTGAAAACACAAATCACTAATGAAGAAATGAGGAAAGAAATCAGGAACTTAACTTATATAGCATTAGGATGAACCATGCTAATTTGTTCATAACTGATATGTCTCCCTACATTTTTCAAACTTGCAACCACATATAGTATTATAACATAATGATCAAACAAAATAGATTAATTCTTAAGCACACATTAACTCTTGATCATGGAAAGACTTTGGTTTCTTGCAAAATAATGGAAAATAAAATAAGAAACCCGTTGGAAAAGTTGGCAATAGATTGGTTAAAAAACAATTTAAAATACTTTTTGTACGACTTGGTGATTCTAAACACTATTTGTTTCCAGATGAAATTAAGCTCGCAAAGAAACATGCCCCAAATCAGCTGAAGAACTCATAAAAGAATTTCTACCTTGCAATTTATCATAACCTTTTCCATCACAGAATATTCAAAATTTTCAACAGAACATGGATTCTATAATGTTGGTTAAAGAATAGGTTGGAGCATACCTTGTAGTTTGTGCAAGCAAGAATTACATTGTTATAACGCAACGAAAAAATTGGGGTCAAACCTGTTATGAAACAACATTTTAATTAAACGAATGAACGTGGAAATGAGCTGGTTAAAGTATGTTCATTTGTTATAGTGTAGTTTTGTGTTTTTATATAACTCTAGGTTTTTTAGCTGGATACAGGTGACATAATGGATGTTTGTTAAAATTATCGACATCACAAATATGCATATAATGAGGAATGGTAACATACCTTGTAATTTTTGGAAGTGAGAGAGATGTAGAATGTCAATAGTGACATAAATTTACTGTCAGAGATTTTAAAAACTACAGGAAAAGTTGTAATCACATGATACTGTAATTAAATGAGAGAAATTCATAGTGTGTAGAGAAGGAAAAAAAAATTTGTACACAGCAAGTTCGTAGAAAGACCTATCGGTTAAAAATGGGAAATAACCAAAAAATGGGAAATAACCAAAAAACGAAAATTATCAACGGGAAATTAGGGCAAAATCTCGATCAGACAACGTAAGGAGTTGGGTTTTAGAGGAGCCATCGTTGTTCAACATTGGTTTAAAGGTGTTTCAACGCAGAAAAAAATGTTGAGGGATATAAATGTAACAGAAAAGTAACCAAAGTAGCATTATTTACAATGAACTGAAAATGTGAAACATGTTGTAGAAACGGATCCAAGTGAATCATGTTTTTTTTTAATTGTAAAAATAGTAACAAATGATGTTCAGAGATGGATCAGATATGCCTTATTTAGTGTCTCTGTGGTATACAGAGATATGAATCAGTGAGTTGTTTGTGCTTTGATTTTTTGCGGTATCACCATCATGTCCATGTTTTCTCTTCAAATGAACTGACTGTTACCAATATATAAACAAACAATTTCTTCTTTTCACCTGTTGTAAATAGATGGTAAACTACCTAGTTATTCGTTTTAAGAATTTAAGATGAACATCCAAAAGTATGAATTTAGATGTTTTAATGATAGATATATTTCGCCGATATCCTTTGATTGAGCAGAAGAAGATAATATGAATTGTACAATTGTTTAACCTATCTAACCAATAATAAGAATGTTGAATAGATAGAATTAACAATTTTGGTTACAACATCTTTGATAATACCTTTGGATGTCCAACTAAATCCATTTATGAGTAAGGAAGTAGTTAATCATGTATTGCGACCAGGTGAAAAGCAGACATTGCAGATATATATCAGTAATAACCAGTTCCTCGGAAGAGAAGTGTTAGCAAAAATTTAATTTAAGCGGCAAACATATAAGGAAAAAGCAATAAATTATAATTTTTTAAATAAACTATTGATTGTTATGGGAATGTACCTCCATATGAAACAAAGTAGGTGATCAACTCTGCAAGTAAGCGAGATTCAACAGGCTGACTACCTAATTTAGAGAAAAAAGAAGAGATTAGCATTAACATGTTTTTAAGTAAATATAGTATTTTTATACACATATTTTATAAATTTAAATCCAGACGGTTACATAATCAAAGAGAAAGTATACCAAATGTCGACAATGTAGATGTATTGTTGAAGCAAGAATTCAATAATTTAAAAACATAACGTTTTTGTTGCATAATATCATTAATAAAGAAATTTATTGAATAATTGAATAAGAAATACAAAAATGCTTTAAGACAATGGGAAAAATCCAAAAAGAGTAAATCAATGTGGAGACATAATGGAAGAAAATTTAAACAGTGTTTCCATGCAGATATGAAACACTCTAACACATTATAAAGTTGGAATAATTAGAATCTATAATGTGGGCAAAGTTAAAAAAAAAATAGCTGTATTAAAACATACCTAAGTTTAATGTTTGTTTTGTACATTATCTTTGGCCTGCTCATATAACTCATTGTGTATAGACAAAACATAGGTAAGCATAACAGTTAACAATTTGACTGTAAATTTTGAAGGACATCTTTAAAGACTATATTTGCAGTATAATTTTTAACATCATTTTCTCCATGAGATATCAAAATTTTGAGATCTTCTTTTGATGTTACTCTAGATAATGCAACGTATAGCTGACCATGGGTAAAAACTGGTTCAGAAAAATATAATCCTACTTGTCTCAAAGATTGTCCTTGACTTTTGTTGATAGTCATCGCAAAACATGGTCTAATTGGGAATTGACGCCTTTTAAAAACAAAAGGCCACTTATTCTCAGTTGCTGCAAAAGTGATCCTTGGTATGAAAACTTTGTAACCAACATTGTTTCTAGTAAGTATTTTAGCCTCAATAATTTTATTAAATAATTGAGTAATAACTAATCTAATTCCATTACATAAACCGAAAGTTTGATTCAGATTTTGTAATAGCATAATTGGCATTCCTATTTTTAAAGTCAAGTTATGTGCAGGTAGACCATTGAAATCTAATTTATTCAAAAATTCAACAGGATATGATGCTTCTAAATTTTCAACATTCCCATTGGAAGAACACAACGAATCGTAGCTTAGAAACACATGTTGTTCTCTAGGTAACAATTCAATTATATAATTGTTTATATCTGTAACAGTTGTGTTTCGAGGTGTTATAATAGTGCATTCTCTTAAATAATCAAAATTGGTAAAAGAAGTTTCAAAATTGGGATAAGTCACCAAAAAAATGGAAGAAATTGGATTTGCAGAAGCATGAACTATTAAATCTGTAGGTATTTTAATCAAAGATGTGTCTTTATCATTCAAATTATTTTCATCTGTTATATCACTAATTTTTCCATCACCTATTTGTAAAATCCAATCTGCAAAATCACTAATGTTCTGTTTTTCTTCAGCTCTAATTCCACTTCTTGATAATCTCATGTTTTCTTTCAACTGAAAATTTTTAAAATGGGACCATAAATAAGAAGTATTTAAAGAAGCATTTACTATATCTTCTTTGGTTCCTCCAGGTATAACAGGTAATATTTGTCGAAAATCACCACCTAATAAAATAGGTTTACCACCAAAGGGAATCTTATTCTCTGAATTATGTAAATGTAATAAAATATCAGAAAGTGATTTATCCAATGCTTCAAAGCAATGTTTATGATTCATAGGCGCTTCATCCCATATAATTAAATATGTCTTCTCAATTAATGTAGCAAGATGTGTTTTCTTTTTTATTGCACAAATTGAAGAATCAGTAATAACTAAAGGTATTTTAAATCTAGAATGAGTTGTTCGACCATCTGGTAATAATAACGATGCTATTCCTGATGATGTAATTAACTGCTAAAACAATTTTTCCTTCAAATCTGAGTCTACATATGATAGTGTCCCATAAAAAAGTTTTTCCAGTGCCTCCATGACCATAGACAAAAAATAAACCTTTTTCTTTTTTATTCACAGTTTCTATAACACAATCATAGATACGTTTTTTTATCTTGATTGAGTTGTAATTTCAAAATATTATGTTTTTTTAACAATTCTTCACAATCATAATTTAACTCTTCTCTTAAAAGTTTATTTTTTATTTCTAACATTTTATTTGCATCAGGCATTGGTAAATAATATTTTTCTAAAGAAGTTGATGCATTATTGAAAAGCAATTCTAATTCAAATAGCACACAATTTTTTAATTCATCTTGTGGTACAACCATATCTGGAATTGCAAAAGTTTTTCGCAAATTGTATAAAATGTCATCAAACATATTTTGCCAATAATTTTCAAAAATAATTTGAGGATTTGCAAAATCACAAAATAAAATAATTGTAACAAACAATTGTCTTAATTGAGCAGATGATGCTGTATTCATAGCATTTGATAAAGCTTCAATCCATTCTTTATCATCTCCTAACAATCCCAATGATTGACATGCAACTTGATATGAAATATGCACAACATTATTAATAGTTTTTATATCATCAAAGCTGAATGCACATTTTTTCAAATTTAAAAGCATTCTTAAATAATATAACTCACTTGATGCAAGATGTACATACGCTTTTCTGCCTATAGAACCTTTATGTTTCCTGGGCTTCCAAATTTTTTTTCCGTGGAACATGTACAAACTTTGATGGAATCTGTGCATAAGTCAATGAACGTGCTTCAGCATAAATTTTGTTAGTTTCAAACCAACTTGTCAACATTGTATGGTCAGAAGCATTTTGATTAATAATTGATTGCAGTGATTGGTCACCACTAAAAACAATATTTTGTTCTAATGGTAAATGCACAGGTAATCGTTCCACAGAAGGTTCCCTATGATGTATAGAATACTGAAACAATCTCCAATCAGCTTCATAAGGTGATATATATCTACAATTTAGGTATGTTAATATTTCATCATTTGGATTTTGCTGAAGAACCAACCGTGCTCTATCTGAACCCTTATTTACATATTTGAACAAATATTTTATAAGTGTTGATTGACGACAAAATTCAACATTTATATGAGCATTATATCTCAAAAGTAATTCAGAATTATAAGGAACAACAAAACTATTATCAACTTTAATTCCATTTTTTTACTACAAATTTTGTCTCATCATCACGACGCCTATAAACAGGAAAGCCACTCAGGTCAAAAACCGTCTCATTTTTATACGCCTTGGGAAAATTTTTGGTGCATTTATTTTCTCGCATGCAAGAAGAATTCTGATTGATATAACCACATGGACCATGAATCATAAATTGATTGACAATTTCATAAAGTCGAGGGTTCATAAATTTGTCTGGTAACTCAGCTGAAATGATAGAATTTATATCTGATGCTGTGTAGCATTTAAATTTTGGTCTCAACCATATTAACATACGAGAATGAGGCAAACCTCTTTTTTGAAATTCAATTGTACAAACATCTATTTGTAAAAACAACAAATAGAAAAAAAATTAAAGAAAAAAACTAAAAAAAGGAAAACGTTAGATTCACTTTAGAGGGAAAAAAAATGGAAAAAAAGACGGATAATAAAAATAAAAAAAAACTTGTAGAACTTACTTGCATCAACCTCTCCAAAAGGCTGTCCAGATCTGATAAAATCAAGCAGATCATCAAGCTTCATTTTAAATATTCTAGAAATTATATCAGGTCTATCTTCAGGCTTGTAACCCGGTTTTTTTTCAAACTCTCTTATAATTTCTGGCCACTTTACATTACAGGTAAATGTTATAAACAAATCAGGATGATCATACTCTCTACAAATAGCCATAGCATCTTAATAATTATTGATCATATATCTAGGACTTCCTGTATACGAAGCAGGCAACACAATTTTTTGTCCTAAATTGTTTGCATCATTATCACCTCTTGATATTGCATCATAAATCCCCTTGTAAATTTCACTCCTCAAATTTTTTTGATTTTGTCTAATGTAATCGAACCTGTCCTCCTCAACTGTTGCATACGAATCAACCAAATATTGTTGAAAAAGTCTACCTCCTTTTAACATCATAGTTAAACATGGTTCTCTTTCCTAAATTTGATAAGCTATATAAGCTCTCATAGGCACCCTTTGTCTTTTTGTTTTTGGCCCTTTATAATTTTGATTCCACTTTAAATCCGGCCTATACCCGTCTTCACCATACGAAAAAAGAATAGGATATTGAAGGGTCATAAATTTTGGATTCAATTTTGTAACACGCTTTAATCCCTCGCTTTTACATTCTATAAAGATGTCTCTATTAGAGTCAGACAAACCTATATCACCAACTATTAAACCACCTATCTCATCACTTGTTGGTTCATCATATTGTTTCCCATCATTTGGTTGCCTACCTAATAAAGTCATTCTTAAATTCATAAGACCATTTGTTTCAAATTTATCTCTTGCTGTTCAAAAAAGTTTGACTACCTCATTCAATTCATCAAACATTTTAATCAACTCTTGAACAATTCTTTCATCAAGCCTTCCATTTTTTTCCATCAGAATTAAAAGCTTTGAGACGATTTTGAACTTCATTATATGTATCATAAACATATAATTGAGCAAATTTTGGAGACTCATTGCCAACAGGTAAAAGAGATCCCATTAAATGACAAACTTGACCACTAATTTTAAAAATGTAAGGACTTGATCCATCATTAATTGAGTTATCAACTTTTGCTCCCATAGAAGTAAATGAAAACATAGAGTTGTAAGCTCTAATATTTTCTCGGAAAGATAAACTTGTTTTACCTCCATTTGGATCAAGCAAGCAATCTAAAAATATTGGCGTTGGTTTTGGAGGTTCAAATTTAATTTTTCCTTCTTGACAACAAAGAGTGAAAACAGGTTGAATTTTTTTCCAACTTTGTTTGAGAGATTCTTTCAACCAAAAATCTGCACCGCAATGTACACACCTATAATTTTGATCACCCAAGTCCACATAATCTTTCACAACACCTACACAAAAACAAAAACAAAAACAAAACAAAACAAAACAAAAAAAAGAAAAAAAAAGAGAAGAAAAATAAATAAAAACAAAAGGAAAAGATTAGCAACAACATGTGATCAAACAAACCCTAAACATAAACATGAACACTACTAGAAATTTGGCTATAAGCCACCCTTTTCATTTGGTGGCTATTGTCAAGTGTTGCCACTCAAATTAGTGGCAAACCTCTATGGCCACCAAGCACCCACTAAACTAGAGAGTGTGGCCTATGTAGATGACTCTATTGTAACAATGGCTACCAATATTACATTGGTGGGTATGTGAATAGTACAACTGTTTTATATTTTATAATTATTTCTAAAATTCTCATTGTCCCTCTTATTAGTGGCTAGATTTGAGACTAACAATGCCACCCTAATTCACATTGGTGGCAAAGTTCAAAAATAATATTAAAAAAAAAAAGGATGCCCCTGGGGGCACCCAGATTTGAATATAATATTTTTCTTTTTTTTTTTGGTGAGGAAACAAATTGTAATATCTTTGATAGAAGAATATACTACAAATTTGCATAACTGATCTTTTATACAATTTTGAACAAATGTTGGGACTCAAACTTTGAAAAGTGTTTGAACACTCTGTTTCCAAAGAGCTTAAACATGTCATGCCAATCTTACATGTGAACTTCGCTACTGTTGAGAGAACTGACCCATTTAACTGCTGCATCAACGTTATTTTTCTGATCACAACCTACGGTCAAGGTTACAAGATACTTTGGCTTGACAAGTAAGTCCTACAAGTTCCACCTCAAAAAGAAAAGGCTAAGATTAGAGAACAGGTTTGAAAAAAATAATCCAATTCTTAAACAAAACAGGACGTGTTATTCATACTAAAGTTAAGAGCAGTAGATGCACACCTCACTGGGCAGACCCCATAGTCGGCGAAGATAGAAATCCGACTCAGATGCAATGATACCAGGCGCTAGGCTTTCTGTCCCTCGAGGATTAGTTGGAACCCAAATCTGCTTTCCTCTCAAAATGGATAGAAATCAGTGCCAGCGCAAATGAACAAATTATCCTATCCTACTCTCAATCTCCCAAACATCACCATCTAATGATCAAGGCAGCTACAAAACAGAAAATTAAAAAGTGAGTTCTAATTGAATTCATTTACATATACCCTACACCATTAAGACTTAGTAATAAACAAGAATGGAGTCGCGGCCTAAAATCAGCCAGTGCAGATGAACAAATTTCACCAGAGTAAATCCAACAAAATCACAAATCAATACAAGCATCTCTAAAGAATTCAAATAACCAAGAGATGGGTGAAGTGAGCCGATAAGAAACCAATCAGCAAAATTCAAATTCAACCTTAGCACAACACACACACGTACCAAATTCAGATTTGGAAAAACCCCGAATCTCTTAAAAGCCCACTACATTTTAAGATCGACTCCCAAAATTCAAAAACACAATCAACAAGCAATCAGTGAAACAATTAATCTGGTTCAAAAGAACTGCTTCCCACAACCACCTCGAAAATCAGCAAAATGAAAACAAAAATTTAAAGCTATTTCTCAAAATGTTAACTCCAAAAGTTATACAACTCCATTCTTCATACGTAATGCTCGAGTCAAGAATTGATGATTACAAATGCCAAAGTAAGTTGTCGACCCTTAATTAACAAAAATTGTAGTAGCTCTCAGCAGCTATTCTTACCCTTTTGCAGCAGCCTTCTATAGTACTCTCATTTTTCCTCAAGCATTTAGAGCGTCTAGCAAACATTTATCAACACTGATTCAGAGATAAATTTAATTGTATCAACCAACTCAAAGAATACATAAACACAACGAAGAATTGATGACTACAAAGTGTTAACATTTGCACATACATCAGAAAGGGCATTATCGCTTGGATTTATCCTTTAAGAAAACCGATGACAACTGTAACGTAAACTACCAAACACCAAATTAAATACACGAACATGACAACCCCAAACATAAACAAAATTCTATATGAATTCAAAATTGTGTTAGGGCAAAAGAACCCCAAACGTAAACAAAATCTCAAACCAATTAAAAAAAACACAGGCCAACACGTGCACTCATCTTTCCCTTTCCTTCCCCTCTTTTGTTACCCCCATTCCATTAACTCTCTTCCCTCAAAATTATATAAACAACAGCAGGAAAGATTAATTCGATAATGAAAAAAAAAATAACTTAAGAAAAAAAAACCCAATTACGCATCAACTTCATTTTTATATAAAAGAGATGAAATTATTGGAGATACAGAAGCTTGGTTAGAGTGCAAGAGCAAGACTGAATGAAATAATGAAACTTAAAAGAGAGATATTACATGGATCAATCGTCATCATACGAAACATGGAAACTGGTCGTGCAGCCCCACAACAGTTGTAGAACTTGGCAGCGTATGGTGGATTGTCGGGTCCCAATTCATAGTACCTTAAATTGAATACAGAAAAATAAAACATCAATCAAGTAAAGCTATCATTTCTAATTATCAAATATACCAACCCGTAGAAAATATAGAAGCGTAGTGATAACAGAGCAATTTCTCTCTCCCTCCCCTCAATATTTCCAGTCGACTGTGAAATCGAAAAATAGAACCCAAAATGCCCAACAAGCAGAAGCTCAAAGAAAAAAATAGAAAATAGAAAATAAAAAGGCATTAGAACAGGTAAAGTCATTGAATTTTACACAAAATTACAGAGATCAGAACTCACACACAAATTAATTTCAGGATCAAACACTAAAGTGCGAAACTTTACCTTTTCCCTTCTCAAACCGGACATCTTCGAGAGTTACCTTTTCCAAGTTGTCCTACATCCTCGAGCCTTTGTGTTCATATGTGCTTTCTCAATTTTAGTGTAAACCTACTCCAAATCGGCCAAAAAACCAAGATTGACTTGAATCTACTGCCGATGGGTCTTCATTGCTGCGACCCTATCCATGAACTTGTTGCAGTTTATTTTTGTCTTCTCCTCCCTCCCTCCGCCCTTCATCGAATGCCTATCTTTCTCTCTCCCTCGCCCACTATCTCTCTTACGCTCTATCAGCCGCATGCCTTCCCCTCACCAAATCCCACACTGAGCCGTCGATCCCATCGAAAGGGTTAGGGAGGAGGCGAGGAGTTGAGCTCAGGGAGGAGAGAGAGAGAGAGAGAGAGAGAGAGAGAGAGAGAGAACGGCTGGGTCGAAAATAGGGTTGTCCCACTTTGTATTTATTTGGGGGTGAAAGTAATGTAGAATAAGATTATTAAATGAGAAAAATAATATTTTTGACAGAAAAAAAAGGAGAAGAAGACTGAAAAAGAAATAAGAAAACAGGTCCCAAAGTTAAAAAAAACATGTAAAAAGTCTTTGGTGTCAAAAAATTTATAGTTTGACAGGTGTTATAAAGGTTAAAGCCACCAACAAAGGATGTTAGAAAGGTTAAAGCCACCAAAATTTGACAATGGTGACAATTTAATTCACAAATGCACAAAAAAATATTTTTAAGAAATAAAGCTATTTAACAGACACCAATCATTCGCGGAATCGCTCGACTTCATCACTGATCGAAGCAATAATGGCCAAGAGATGCGATTAGGGTCCAAGGCTCTGTCCTTCTATGGGTTTTGGCCTCTCTGTCTCCCTTTTGTATTTGACTTGCATTCGTAGATCCTGAGAAGCAATATATGTCCCAACTTTGAAAACAAAAATATTAACCAGCACCACTTCGGCGCCAACAAAATAAATAATGAAATAAAAAAGTAGAAGAAAAGTAATTTAAAGAAATAAAGTTAGTTAACAGACACCAATCATTGGTGGTTGATTTTTTACGGCCACTGATATCAGTGACATCCCATTGTAAAGCCACCAAAAAATAGTAAGAGTAGCAACTTTATATCTATGGCCACCAATTGCAAAGGGTGGGTAAAAAATGGTGTGTAATGAGCATAATTCTAGTAGTGGAAATAGCTGAATTTGAAACGCACCAGTCCTATTTTTTTGGAAAAATGCTTGACCCTTACTTATGAGAACACGATCTTGAGCACACGATGCTCTGTTTTCAATGTTATCTGACAAATTAACAATGTTTTTGCCTTTTTGATCACGTGTGTACACTTGTTTTTTAACAACGATTCTCAACCAACAAATTTTGCGAAAGAGTCGCGTTAACCGCATACGGAACAACATTTTCAAAGTCTTGTACACAATTCATTCTACACATTTTTTTGGACCGACTGTCAAAATTTAAAACCGCATTACAATCCATGTCATCAATATTTTGCTTTCGTTTTATACCACCTATTCTCCCATCATTTATAATTTTTTCAGCCATAATGAAAAATTAATAATCACAACTGATTATGAACCACCGGATTGCAAAACATATTTGAAAAAAAAAAACAATAAGAAAAAAACAAACAGTCAACAAAATAGTTAAACTATAAGAAACAGAACAAAACATTGCAATTATAAATGTAGACAACCAACCATATTACCACATTCATACAACTAAAAAGAAAAAAATCAAAACAACCAACCTCTTTGAAAGATCACTGGTTCCAAGCTTTCAATGTTTGATTACTTTAGCAGCAACCAAATTAATCTGAAATTAAAACAGACCCCATTAATTAAATCAACCTAAAACAGAAAACCAATACAAATTTACAGAGACAGAGAAGCCTACATTCACCCAATTGATAACCAAGATTGTAGATTATAATTATTTCTTTTACTCTGCTTTCTCTTCCCCATAACTTTCAGGAGGAAACCGTATCTTTTATAAGAAGTCAAGTTTTAACCTTAGAATGTGTGTGTGCACACGTATTTATCAATACTTAAATATATATTTATATATAAAGAGAGAGAAAGACAGAAAAAAAGACTAACACAGAAGATAGTTGGGAAATTTTATTGAAAATCAGATGTTTTCACCACATCCACTTTTACCCATAACGTTTTATGATCAATTCCATTAGAGCAAACGTCTCTTCTCTCATAGTTATAAGAATTAAACGATAACTTTCTACATACATAATTTAATACACCGTTAAAAATTAAAAATCTCATCAAAACACTAATCCAATTGCCTACACATATAAACACCTTATAAATTAATCATCGTCTTGACAATTATAAAAAAAACCAACTACATGATTAACAAAAGTAAAGCCTAAAAAGAAACACGGGACATACCGATCTATTATAAATTGCCACTTACATCAAAAACAAATGTTAATTTATTCAAAATCAATCATGGAAAAAAAATATATACAAAAGGAAGAAATAGACAATAAGCACGAATAAAAATTTTTGACATTATTAATCCATATTGCAAATCATAGGTCACAAATTGAAACCAAATGATATCATCCAACAATACCTTTTGTATTCTGTCTTTATATTGATTGCCAATAAAATTGTCTTTTTTTTTTTTTTTTTTTCTCTCTTTCTCACCCCTATGCAGTTCAAAAGTAGAACCACCAAGCCCTGTAATGAACCAAAATATTGTTCATAGCAAATTTCAAAAATTTAAATAGATTTAACCAATACATTCCTAAACCCATTTAATCTGAAAAATATAAAGAGAATCTTGTACATTACAAAATCAAATCAAATCATATAATTTGAAACATTTTATTCATACCTTTTTTTGTTTTGTCTTTATACCAATCACCAACAGCCTTTATATATTTTTAGTCAGTTTGTGAAGGTGAATTTTATCAAAAACCTGCAATCATAAAAATTAAAAAAAATTAATATCATAAAGATAGAAAGATTTGCAGCATTGAATATTTATAACACGAAGAGAATGACCACACAGAGATAAGATTGATCAACAAAGATACGTTTGTCTACTAAAATCCAATAAAATACATCCAGAAAACCTGTTCAGTTTTGACACTTCTTTGATCAACAGACTTTAAAAACAAATTCAAATGAACTAAACAAAAAAGAATAACAAAAGTTTATGTAAAAAAAAAAAGAATTTAAACATATAAGACCATGCACCATGTTCAAGCAACAAAAATTTACAAAAAACATCATAGTAACCTTAAACAGAAAGAAAAATAAAAAGAAAACCACAATCGGTAACCCAAAAAAATGAAAATAAAATAAATAAATTTAAATTGGAAGACAATTCAGTTGCGTTCCTTTGGTGCTTAACATGGAACAACAATGGCCTCCGGCCTAAAAGAGCAGATTTCATACAAAAATACTAATAAATTTGAAGGAACCCATAAACAAAAATTGCAGGACAACTTAACTATTTAGCTTTACTTCTTAGGTCAGTTCATAAAACCTACTGACTACCCTAATTATGTATCACATCACCCAGAAACCGTGATTACACAGAAACCCATAAACCCTGATTACCCAGAAACCCATAAATCCTGATTACCCTATACTATACATCACAACTTCAAAGAAGCCCTTGAAGAACTGGTGCCCCATTTTCGCTAACCAATTAATAAAACTTAAACCCAAAACGCTATTGAGACTACGAAGTTCAAAGAAATCCAAATCTTCCAATTATCTAGTTCAATATTTCAACAAAAAATGTTGAAATAAGCAGATAGAGGTTAACAGAGAAGGAATTTTATTAACCCAAATCATAAACGCTAATAAACATGCAAAACTCACCTGGAAATGCCAGATTAGATCCCTAGAATCGGCGCAACTTGAATTAAAAATCGAGTTTGACTGCGTTCCAATTCGTTTGGGGGCAAAATTAGGGTTTGATTTCAGAGGAAGCAATGGATCCGGGTTTTCGTTCAGGCGAATAGGCGCAGAGACGTGGAAAAAGAGGATTATGTAGGGAATTGAGGGGCGAGATTGATCGCACCTGGAAGGCGAGATTTAGTAAGCCCGAGAACAGCAGAAGAGAAATCTGTGAGAAAGATGTGAGAAAGAAACGGAAAGCAAAAGAAAAATTGAGAACACACAGTCCAAAGAGAGGATCCATCGATGACAGACGCGTGGAAGCAATGGGCAAAAGTGGCATTTCGCTGCCCCAAAAACCAAAGAGAAGAACAACCGGAGGAAAAAGCCAGGGGCAAAATCGTTCGCCCACTGGTCATCCACAGTACCACTTCACTGAGTTTTAGTATATAGAGATATAATTTGGCAAGAAAAAGTGGATCATTTGGAGTTCCACTCAGTAATATGAAACCGTCTTTTTTTTTTAGTCTTAATTGAATGGCCATTCCTGCGAAAGATGATCCAAATCGTTAACCATTTGATTGTCATCACAATTTGAAAGGATTTTGTACTGCAGCGAGGTTCAAGCTCAATTCAATGACACTCACATTTATAAAACATATACTTCCTAGATACAGCTTTTATTTGGTCCTGAATTCTTGTTAGGACCTTCATGGTTAACCTTTCTGCTGAAGGGAAATGCCTGTTCACGCATTGGAAGGAAGGAACCATCACCTATTTGCCATAGTAACATTTCTAGGCGTTAGATTGAATAATTATGGGAGAATGTATCAACAGACAAAGGAGGGGAATGCAGGAGGTGAAAGGAGAAGTGCGTAAATCTTCCCTTGCTTGAAACCATTTGCTAGTCCTCATTCAAAAGTAAGTGGGCATTTGGAATGGACTCATGACTTGACAATAATAACCCCTGCCAAACCGTTGACCATCCTTGACAAACAATCCAACATCTTATCTTAGATTCAATTTTAACTGCTGAAAAATTAAAATAGAAACTGTTCTTGTGTTTTTCAACAAAAAAATAAAATCATCTTCATCATTTCCGTTTGGATGAT